AAAAAGAATGTATTTAATAACCAAATGAAAATATAAAAATACAGACAGGTTTGTGAGGGTATTGTGAGGGAACTTTGCTCCAATTCGCCAAATCTGAAATTAAAAGTCAGAGATTTCAACCGGAATTCTAGCATTTCTTCCAACACCAAATTATCTTAAATCTTAATCTCATTTGTGTACTGTACAGCATATCTATCCAAAGGACAACACTTGGACATCCATCAGCCTCTCTCCTCTCAATCTCACTGAAAACATCAGTGAATCAACTGTAAGATTATCCATGCTCGTAACATCCCATTAAATTTCCCAGTACAGGGTGTTTAAACAGAAGTGAAAATATCTTCCGGTACAGTCCCACTGTGGGTGGACAGCACTGTAATTATGCAGCTCGGCATTGCTTGAGATGAGACTTTAACTACTGCCAGCTCTCACACTAGTGCTTCATTACGTCTCATATTTGGTTGGTGGAGTTTGCAGGAAGTTAGCGTGAGCCTTCTATCATTTGTTTCTTACAACATTTGTTGTTTGGAGACAGGCGGTACGGCGAAGTTTAGCAGTGCCTATATGGAGCCAAGGTACTGTAGCAACCAAGCATAATGGCAACCGGCAGCCAATAAGATCTGTTTAAGCAAACCGGTGATGATGTTTCTGGTAGCATGATTGTAATGTGTAATGTTTTGCCAGTGATCACTATGCTTTATAGCTCAGGGTAGTTCCAACACAAAGCCTGTTGAGAACATCAAGACAAACAAGGTCTCTTTCCTATTTTCTGAGTTCACTTATTTGACATGGTACCTGTGACAGCTGTTTGTCCTCTGAGAAGCACTGGACACTTATGGGTATTGTAATCTGACGTCATACCCTTCCTCTGTCCTTCAAGTCCTCACTCTACCACCCATCACAATGAGTGACTAATTCAGTACATTTCCCAAGGTGCAGTTCTCCTTCCTACAATCTAATCAGTCAGTCTAGACTTTCACAGAAATTGAGTGACTACAGACTACAAACAGTGTTGGAATGGAAAAATAGATTACATTAGATGCTTCGTGATTTGCAAATAAAAAAATGTATTAAATGAGAGGAGGAATATGTTTTTTAATATAATTTATAACTACCAGTATATATATTGTAAAACTATACAAGATAAAGAAAAATAAATAAATAATAATAATAATAATTTCAATTATATATTAACATTTATTAACATTATCATAAATTTTTTCTTTATCTTGCATATAGTTTTACCTAATACATAATAAATGAAGATAAATAATTAAAATAAAAATATTTTCGTAACATTTTAACATGTATATATATATATATATATATATTCACTATTATTATTATTATATTATTATATTAACATATTATTTTACTATACATTTTTTCTTTATCTTGTATAGTTTTACGTAATATACATTTTATAATATATATAATTATGTGTATATATACTTTACACACATATACATTTTTTAATTATTTTACTCTAAAATTAAATAAAAATAAACATGCATATTACATATACTGTATACAGATACAACACAATGTCATATCTCAAGGTTGAATGCTTGAGGTTAACAAATGCAGTCCAAAATGACTATCGTAAGGTCAAAATGTACAGACATTCGATGATAGCTCCATTTTATGTTGTATTATAATACGTACTCTTTAAAATTGTTGAAATTCATTGGTGTATAGGGAGGTCAGTAGGATAAATAAAAGTAATGTCCAGAAAACAGCTGGAGAGAGAGAGCAGGAAGAAACAGAGATTTACAAGGAAGGGTTCATGGTAGTAAGCTGAATTGCGGTAATTGGAATAAAGTCAAGAGAGAGAGAGAGAGTGGCATGAGTGAGACATATTTGCTGTTTACGTGATTTGATTGACGTTTAGGAAAACACGGTCTCCATCAGCAGCCAGCAGTTTCCTGTTAGACAACACAGCATCCCGGCCACACGTCAAGCAACCTCCGTTAACTCGCATCGACCGTGCAGACAGCTGCTGATGGATGGCTCCAAATTATAGACACCCACTGATCAACTTAACTGAGCTGTCAATCAATCAGTCTAATCCGACCACAGCCGCCCACAGTCACGTTTGGCCTCGAGATCAGTGAGGACTCATCCAGCAGATATTGATTAGAACGAGACGTGATCTGTGGCCATCCTGCGCCCGAGGGGTCATTCAGGAAAGAACAACAGGAACGTGAACAGCACTACATGATCGGCAAGATATGCTTATCGTCATAGTGACAGCTGACTTCCTTTGGTGGAATAAGAGTTCTCTAGAAAATCACTTGCTTTGATGAGTTTGGAGATAATGTGATTCAGCCAAGAACCGCCCACTTTAGATGCAGGTTAATCTGATATGGATGGTGCCACAATAACAAACTGACTGACTGTTTACTGTACATAACGCAAGGCAGATTCTGCAAACAGCTGTTATAAAAGTGCCACAAGTCAAGTCGTGTGTGATGACTGTCAAGAGAAGGATGAAGGCTCGAATTATCTTATCTGACACATCAAAATGTCACCTGTGTGAGAGTCTGTGAAATGTACAAAAAAAATTTTTTGGTGCCATGGTGTGCTGACTTATTTTTTCCTTCTACTTCTGTCATTTATTTATTTTATCGATTTTTTGTATTCAAGTATCATGAAAAAAAATGTGTTACGGTTTCCACAAAAAAAAAGCACAATATTTCACAACACAAGGCAGGTGTTTTCAACAATTTAAATAATTAGTATTCTTAGTAGAATAAATTACATTTTAAAATAGTTCTTGTAATAAAACTATAAAATCAATATACTCTACAAAAAAACAAAAAACTTAAACATTTTAAACAAGTACGCTTCAGTGCTTGACTAAAAAATTGAAATAACTGCATTTAATTGCATTTTCTTCTTGATTCACTAGAGATGCCAAATTTGATGTACTTGTGAATCTTCTAACTATAGGCAGGATGCGCAAGGAACTCCAATGATTCACTGAAATCTTTTTTGTTCTGAATGTGATGAAGAGAGAAAAGAACACAAGCAAGTATGTGTTTGTGCTGGTGGATGGCAGAGGGAAAACACCGAATAAAGAATATTTTAAATGGGGTGACATGGGGACAGTGTCCAGTCTGGGTATTGTGACTGGAGGTAGAGAAAATCTGCCAAAAATACACACACACACACACAAATGGATAGAGAAGCAAAGAGCCAAACTGTCCTCACACCACAGCCAGCTATTACAGATCCAATTACCTAAGACCAGTTATTTCCATCATATGAGGCACACCAGTGCTTCCATATCCATTAAAACAAGAGCACTTAATTCAGACCGATTAAACATGACAGAAGAGAGCCAGCAGAGGAAAAAGGGAAAGAGACCGTAAGGA